ATATAATTATTTTTACTTGAACACAAAACCTGCTGACTATCTAGCCATTAAGTAGCTGCAGATCATTTCTACATAACCATTGAGACATTAATTTGGTCTCTAGAGGGTTGTATGTTTATATCATAATTTTACTTTTATAAAAATGATTATTCTAAATCTCATGTTTCTATAAAAATATATTGTGCTTTAAAAATATGGATGATAGTATCAGCCTCTCTTTTAGCCACTTCATAAGGAACAGCTTGTTTAGAAATAAATTATGCAGTTAATGTCATAAAATATTTTCATAAAATTCGAATAAACATAAAACGAAAATTTTCAGTTTTAGACAATTCGATTTAAACGAAGTTAAAGTAAAGTAGCAGACGATAAAACGCCAAAGATAAAAATTTACTCTTACGAATATTTTTTTTAAAAGGAAGAAAGACAGAAATTTAAAAAAATAGTTAAAAATTTGAATAATATTATCTATAATTTAAAAAAGTAGCTTTCTATATAGTATTAATAAATATTTATTACGCATCGAGGGGAAAAATTTCATACATATTTACCGTATTTAACGGCATATAAGACACACTTTTTTTCCTAAATTTGGTCTCAAAAAAGTTACCTGCATCTTATACGTGAAGGACACAGGTTAGCTTTTAATACTGAATGATATTTTTACCCGGATAAAGATCTAGACACACATAACTTTTTCTACATCTACATGTGTGTGGCCTTCTAAATAAGGGTGCGTCTTATATGCCATCAAATATGGTAATTCTCCGTAAAATTTTATTTGAAATTTAAGGTTAAAAATAGCTGTGGCAATTCACTGTAACAAAAACCCATAAACCACATTTGGCGTTATTATCGCTCAAAAAAAAGATGCCAAATTTCAAAACGAAAAAATATGTAAATTTGTGTATATCTTAGAAAATTTTGAATAAAAAAGTCTAATTTTTTGCAGGTATGCTTAGAAATACACCTACTTTAAGATGATGGTAAAAATTTTATAAGTCATAATTCAAAATTTTTTCGAAAAATTTATAAAAATTATATAATAATAGAAATTTAAAAAATAAAACACAAAAAATAGGTAAATTTTATTTGGAATGAACCTAAATTTCGAAATGTGAAAGGAAAAATCAAAGAAGTTTAATAAAAAAAAGAGATATTAATAAATATTTGCCAAATTCAATTAACATTGAGGAGCTAAAATTTTGAGAGCTAATATTTTAAAAACTATTTTTAGAAAACTTGGTATTCTGGCATAATTTGAATTGTAGAATCGAAATATGGAAAAAAATTGGTATGTTATTTCAGAAAAAGTCCGGTTTTGTGTCAATATACCTATGTTAGAATAGTGCTATATATAAATGTAATATATATCCTAAGTCACGCTTTCGAGACATGAAAAACACAGTTTGAATTGTGTCAATCGGCCCAGTAGAACAGGAGATATAGCACTGTCCCTTTTTTTTTTTTTTTTTAAACAGTGTACATATTAAGACTATTATATATTTATCAGAAATATGAGCATTCTTGTTTTATAAAATTTGGCTGGAACTGCATACATTGTCAATGTAGATGATACTACAATATTCACTTAATATATATATATATCTTAGTTCAGTTGCTCGAGTAATTTTAAATTACATGCATGTATTGGAATCCTGACTTCAGTCATACATGACGACATCAATGTCAGCATTTCTGAACCATACTATTCATACGTCAAAGAAAAACTAACAAAAACATACAATACATGGAGCAATCATCCTGTAGGATTTAGCCAAATATCCTATCACATACCTGACCAAAAAAAAAAAAAAAAAAAAAAAGGAAGCTGCACATAATATGATTTTTTTTCTTTATTTCAAATACATAAAGCTACACTTCATCCCTTAATTGATTGAAATTCCACTTGTTCTAATAACAAGCTATTCTATCAACATTCCTAAAAACCATAAACTGTAAATAATTTGTTTAAAATATGTACATTCATAAGAAATCTAAAATTAAACTATTCAAACAATCACTGAAAAACTTGCAAAGAAGTTATCACAGTTCTCAATTATGAATTTTGACAATAATTGTAATCTTACAGGTTTCTGACTATTTTATGAAATATTACGTGCTTTTTGATTACCATACCTACACAAAAAGTCGCCAACTCAGCAATGATTCAACTTTGCAAATTGGCAAAATGCATGTTTGGCTAACTCTATGGATCATATGTACTGTACCATTCATAATAAAATATAAAAAGAAGCTTTTTATAAGAAACAAAAGATTTTTTGAAGCAAAACAGAAATTTATATTGCCAACATTTACATCTTTACAGTCTGTGGATAACGCTCAGTGAAATAACAGTTAAATATAAAATGCATAAATCCATGTGCATAGTATGCGCATGCATACGTTGACTATAATCCAATGCATAATCAAAAGTATGCCAAAAACACAGCAATTCTACTGAATATTGAAATCAGGGGTGTGAATAATCAGAAAGTACCATATATTACTTAAAACTGTTTAGCACTTTTTAAAATTTTGATATTTGATTTACTTAGTATTATCAAGCAATATTTCTATTTTTGGCTCCATTCTAAATTAAGCAATACCCTTTTTGCCCCCCCCCAAGTCCATGTTTTAATCACCAATAGCTCGTGATTGAGTTTACACTGTTTGACCAACTGTATTTCTTCTACCCATTACATGACTCACATCTCCTCCACAATCAATCCAGAAATGCTTAGTCATAGCGCACTGCTATAATTCTTACAAATTTTCTTCAACTATGGATTCCTTTATTTCTCTTCAATTTACAAATATAGAACCTTAGAAAATTAGAAAACTTCAGAACATTAAAATGCTACTGATATGACCTTCTACAATATTCAAAGTCGACTTTTTACTTTTCTAATGTAGTTCCTTTACTTCCTTTCTCAACTTTTTTTCTGCAATTTAAATTAAAAAATTAAAAAACTACAATTCAACTCGATAGTTTTTTTTTTTTTTTTTTTACTCATACCTACAAAACAATTAATAAAAACTATTTGATCAATTTTTCGGCAACTTTTTGAATCTATTTTTCAAGGATTAATTGATTCTTAAGTTTAAGTTTTACACTAAATAATATTCTTTTTTTTTTTCCCATTTTCTGTTTAACAAGAATGAGAATTTACATAAATATCATTCAATTAATATGCAAACTTTTTCTTTGACTAAAAAATAAAAATAAATTTTCTTTGAAATATTTAAAAGTTCCCCCCCAAAAAAAAAAAATTCCATATTCATACCAGATTTTAGCCTTTTGAGCAATTACTTTCTCGCCAAAGTTTTTAGTTTTGCCAATGAAGCCAAAATGGCAAACCTATACGGCCCTACTGTTTCGCATCTCATAGTTTAGACTGGTGTCTAAAAAGAGTGCTTGATATTCTTAATTACTTCTTGTGTGTTCTAATTAGGTATTTGCAACTATGTTTTATAAAGTCACTCACACCTTAATTCGTTGGATTATCTGTTTAAAAGTAAACATTTTGATTTAAAAATTTTTCACTGAAGTATTTTGTTTTTTTACTTTTGTTTTCAATTCTTTTAATAAAATTGAATTTATTTTATATTGATCTCTTTATTTAAGGTTAGAATTTACTTTTTTCCTTACTTTGGGTAAGGGCCAGAATTTTTGGGTGAACTATTATAATTGAAATACATTGAAATGGTTCATCGGCTAATTCTGGGTACAGAAAATCAACGATTTTTGTAGAAGAGAGATTTCAATTGATTTCAATGTTCCTCCTCCCTGACAAAGTAGTATTGAAGTTAATCAAATTCCTCTTCTGTTTTTGTTCATTTTTCTTTACATTTCACTGATTTTTTTAAATAGGGTTTTGCTTGTTTGAAAACTTTTGGTTTTTAACAATTTTTAAATTCTTTCTTGCATTTATAAGATTATTTGAAATTTATTAATTATGAATTTCAATTTTTGCTCTTTGTGATATATTAGTTCTAAATTTCTTACTTTATGTCTTTATACAATACAAAGTCCGTAATCCAGACGTCCATTATCTGGAATGATCTATAATCCGGACCTCAAAGCCACAAACTTTACGCATGCGCACGTTGAAAGAAATGTTTAATAAAGTAAAACAAATAAATATTAAGCTTTTTTTTTTTTTTTTTTTTTTTTTTTTTTTTGTAAAATTTCATACCCTTTAGATCATAATTGCTCTTTATTTCATAAATTACGGTTTCATATTTTTAACTGTATAATTTCTGCATGCCACCTTACCAGATTTAAATTGATGATCTATAATCTGGAAGAACCCCTAATCCGGAATTGCTAAAGTCCCGACGAGTCCAGATTACAGACTTTGTACTGTATATATATATACGACAAAAAAATTCAGATTTGTTGGAAACATCAGTTAATAGTTTAAATTTATTTGATTGAGAGGAAAAATAATTTATATATATATACTGTTTAAAATTTTACTGTTTAAATATTTGAATTAACATCAACATATGACAACATAACTTAAGTGCTGGTTAGTTGTTTATAAATTTAATTTTTTCAAATCTTTGTTTTAAATTTTTTATGAAATTAATTTTAAGTAATTTATAAATTAGCTCAAAAATTTCCATAATGAATTTTAATGATCCTGATCCAATTAATTACATGAAAAGTTTGAATTAATTATTCATATCATGAAAAATTAATGTCAATTGAATTTTTTTGCTTCATTTATTACACTAGAATTTATATGGAATTGAATTCTTTGCTTCATTTACTACAAATTTTAATAGATGATATGTAATTTACTGTTGAAATTTAAAACATCAAAGGATTTACTTTCATTGCTGGTAACCAGCAATTTGCCCACTCATGTAAAGAAAAATGTCATAACACAATATAAAAGAAAATATTGCGGAAAAAATATGCCTTCTAATACACTCCTGCTCTCTAATATACTGGTTTGGAAAACTTCATACTGGAGAAATAAATCTCTTACCTTCCACAAGAGTACTTTCTGAACTTGCAAAATAACTTGGGCTGGAATAACAAACATTAATTTGTAATGTTTAAGCTTGGAACAACAAACATTAATTTTCAATGGTTATGCTTGGAACAAAAAACATTAATTTTTTTAAAAGCAAATTATTACAGCTTTATACTATGGTATTATATTATGCAAAAATTAAAAGAAAATAAAAAATGCTTTTAATAAATATTTTTATTATGCATAAGTATGCTTAGTATTTAAATAAAAGCATCTAAGAGCATCACCTTTCTAAACCAACCAGCTCTACACAAGCTCTCTCTGCCTATATATATATCATACATACATATATAACCTTTAATTATGAAATGAAGAATAAAGACTACTGTAATAGGATACTTATTAAAAGTTAAATCTTTAGAAAATGGAAATTAAACTATGGAAAATAAAACCTAGCATTGAATTGCATTCGAGTTAATAATGAAAAAAAAAAAAAAAAAAAAAAAAAAAAAAAAAAAAAAACATTCAAATAAAAAGACATTTAATTATTGTTGATACCATGGAGGAAAGCTGATTTTTCAAACGGTATTAGTCTTTTTCCACCAAATCACCAATAATTAGAGAATGATCAATCAAATATATGATCTTTTTCATATATTTGAATGATATCCCCCTTCAAAATGGGGGGAACAAAGAAATGTCTTTTTTTTTTTTTTTTTTTTTTATTTAAATTAATTGATTATGAAAATGTGTGTTTATTTGTGGATTCTTCTTCCATTTTGTAAGATTCAAAAAAAGTTTGCGAGACAAAAACATTTTAGACAGAAAAACAAGTCTTCTCTGAAAAGGACGATCAACTGATTAAAAAATTTTAAAATTCCCTGGAATTCAATGGAGAAAGGTACATTTTCAGATCGACATGGAAAGAAAACATGGGACCCGAAGTTGGGTTAAGTTGGGTTAGGTTGTGGAAAAGGTGCTTTAATTCGTTCAGGCACAAACTACATAAAAATTAGGAAATTTACGACCAGTATAAAAAAATTATATTGGATCGATTAAAATGTCAGATTGTGGGGAAATGTGTTAACGAAGATATAAATTCAGGATAGTATATGTCCCACAGAGCAGTAATTAGTAGAGATAAGAAAGAAACAACTCGAGTTAGAATTGTTTATGATTGTAGCAGTAAAGCAAATGAAAATAAATCATTAAATGAGTCTCTAGAATTGGGAGTTAATCTTAACACAATGATATTGGACATAATCCTTAAATTTCAAGAAAATCAAGTTGTATTTTGCAGAGATTTAGAGAAAATTTTATAACAAGACCTTGGAATACTCTATTTCCCTAGAAATACGAACTCATGACAACATGAGAAGTTCAAGTAAAGTCCCCTCACTCACATGCGGAAACCTTTCTCTTTCAGAGGGGCAATAAATTCGGGGGAGTTTGTTTAGGAACGTATAAATTTCTTGCCAAGCCATCGTATCTAGTGTATTGTTATCGATGGTTTCAGTTCGCAGGAAGGAAAATTTGTGTTCTTAAATGTGGCGTTGAAGTGACAGCGAGTACAATAAGAGTGAAATACTGAGATAAACTGCTCAAGCATGTCCTATACATTGTCTTTCCCACAGTATCCACTAATGTAACCAAATGTGGGGGGGGGGTGAAAAGTGTAACCAGCAACTTTACATTCATCCTTAGGAGTCACAGATTCAGGACTCATTTTACCTCCGACACACATCTGCTTGATGGCTATAATTACATCAGAAGAGAGCCGCGGTCAAACAGAATGTTCTCTCTCACCAAGATTCCCCTCATTTTATGTTTCCACCCACTCATACTCTCATGCCCTCATTCTGTTTCGCTCTGTTTTTAGCATTATAATTTTCATCAGCTATACTTTAAATATATTTAATTTTTGTGATGATAAAAGAACTCCCCTCCCCAGAGCTAAAACTGGACCGGTTCTGGTGCTTATTAGTTTTCGTAATAGATCATAATTCTAGCCAGAGCCCTAAATAAGAAGCACTTCCTAAATGTGCTTCTTTTATGTAACTGAATAACGATTTCAGTAGAAATTTTATTTCGAATATTTTATTTTTGTCAATAAAATTATATTAAAAAAAGCTTATTAAATTTACTTTATCTCTTTACATTTAATTTAATTTTAATTGTTTAATTACTTTAATCTTTAATTATTGAATTATTTCAATAATAATTAATTATCTAATAATTATCAATTAAATTATAATTAATAAATTATATAGTAATTATTGATTAAATAACAATTTATAAACATAATAGCTATTAATTAATTTGATAATAATTAACCATTTAATTTTAAAATTATTAATGAGTTTAATAGTCATTTTATTTATTTATTTATTCTTGTTCCTCTTTGCATATGAGCTTCCATAGGGCTCCAGCACTTCTAATTTTAGAAATTAAGCCCCGACTCTACCTGCACTATTGACATTGTACTCAGCATAGTTTCACCTAGTGGTATAAGCATTGAAAACACCCATTAGTACTGTTTTGCTGGAGCAAGAGAAAGTGCCAAAATTTAATTTTGTGTTACCATGTGGGCTATAGCATACAAAAATTGTAAATGGATATCATTTTTCCAAACTTCAGTGCAAACCAACTTAGTGTCACTGAAAGAGTCTAAGTCCTAATGATTGTGAAAGATTAATTACTTCCTAAAGATCTTACAATTTAATATCTAAAGATCTTACAATTTACACATTAATTATTTTCTTAAAGATCTTACAATTTACACGGATGGTTCTAGACTAGATGCTGGAACAGCATGCAGATTATGTATTTTACAGGATAATGAGACTCTCCACATGTGGAGAAGACTCAATTCAAATAATTCAACTTTCCAGGCAGAGTTAACCGCAATTAAAAAAGCAGTCCTAATTTTGAATCGATTTTCAACTGGTTACAGCCGAAAACATCGTGGCAAAAACAACGCGGACGAAAACGTTGCAGAGAAAATAATGCAAGGCGAAAACGTCGTGCTACAAAACATCGTGAGAGAAAACATCGCAAAGAGAAAAGATCGTACTTCTAATACATCGTGGTACAAAATATCGTCGTTGAAAATAAAGCAATTCAAAAACTTCGCAGTTTAAAAACATCGTCGTCGAAAATATCATGGTAAAAAATAAAGTATCTACAAATGATCGCATGATGATAACATTGCAGACACGCTTTTTTGTACCGACTCACAATTAAGTCTTCAAGCCATTGCTGGAACACAATCAAGGAGCCCTTTAGTATTTAAAATTCAAAAACTTCTGCTCAGATCCCCATTAAGAACTAAGACTGACCTTTTGTTGGGTACCAGTACACACAGGAACAGTAGGAAATGAGCAAGCAGACAAATTAGCCAAAAATGTGGCTATTAGCATATATCTACCAGAATATGCATGACCATTTCCAGGATCTTTCCTTAAGAAAGTGACATTCGTTAGTATGTTACAAGAATGGCAGTTTTGCTGGAATAACGGTACAATGGGTCGCAGAACATACAAGTTCATTCCCAAAGTATCTACTGATTTATCTACGTTCTCTAATACAATCACAAATTATACAACTGATCACGGACCTTCTACGACTTACTTCAATAGATTTGGCCTATCAGAGAATGACTTATGCAGCTGCGATCATCAGGGATCACCTGATCACTATGCATTTAATTGCATACATACCAAAACTTTTCATCTACGACAACCTTCAGAACAATACTGGGCAAATTGGCTTAGCCAATTATTGAAATCAAAAGGAGCATTAAATAAACTTAGTAACTGTATAAAAATTTTTTACAACTTAAATACATTTTCTTCCTCTGAATCAAATTTCAATTAGTATGTTTTGTTGATTTGCTCTTTCTAATACTATTTTTCACCAGTATACTTTTTATATACTATCTTGTATATTTAAATTGCAGTGATGATTTTTTGCAGCTCATTAATATAAGTTTGTATGAAAAACTCATTGTTTTGCCCTTTAATGATATCAAATAACCCGTATATTTTAAATGTTATAATAAATAATACATAAAATCGCAAATTTCCATTTTGTAATTAGAATTTAAATACATTAAATTTTTTAATATTAAAAGTTTAACATAAGTCTTAAGTATTAAATAATAACAGAAACTATGCATAACAAATTATCTTTAAAAAACCAGAACTTTATTCTTATTACATATTTCTATATAGTTTTCTCAATTAACATTAAAAGTATCGATAAAATGAAGTGTAAGTCAAAAATTCATTAATTGTAATTTAAAATACATGTATTATAAATCTTTAATGCAGCCATAAAGTTTGTATGAAAAACTCATAGTTTTGCCCTTTAATGATATCAAATAACGTATATTTAAATGTTATCATAAATAATACATAAAATCGTAAATTCCATTTTGTAATTAGAATTTAAATACATTAAATTTTTTAATATTAAATTTTAAGTGTTAAATAAGTCTGTAAGTATTAAATAAATAACAGAAACTATGCATAACAAATTATACATTGTAAAATACCAGAACTTTATTCTTATTTACATATTTCTATACGACTTTAGCTGTAGTTTTCTCAATTAATCAGATTTTTAAAAAAATATAAAAGTATCGATAAAATGTAAAATATTAATTAATAATTAAAGTTTTGAAAAATTAATTTCGAAAATTTCATTTCAAAAATGTCATTCAGAATTGGCGCAACATAGTCATAATAAAATTTAAAGCTAATAATATTTCCATGTGTGCAGGTATGGTGAAAAAATAAAATGCAGGTATTAGGTATAACATTTCAATGCAATTCATAGGTCAGAAAATAATAAACTGATTATATCTTCAGGGAATCATTAGGAATTGAAAAGAAATTTCAAACCTTCAAACCTCTTTGTTCATTAATGAAACGAAGGAATTTATTGTGGAACTCACGAGATGTGTTGAGGGTGTATTCTCTCGGAGAAAATGATTCTCCATCCTTTCTTTTCCTGATACAGCCCCACCGTGATCCTAATGGAACACCACTGAGAAGATAAGTGCAACTAAGTAACTTATCAATCACCCCTTTTCATTTCCGACTCATTCTGAAGGGGGGCTGGAAAAAGACGCTGCGATGTACGTGCCTCAGGGATTATGGTCTAGCCCAAATTTCATCCTGACGAGAGTCACCCGACGCTAATGGATGACGATGCATTTCCTGCAAACATATCTCTCTCGGGGAAAACGGTGAACTGGTTAATGTCTCTGGCCCTCACTCTCCTATACTAACGTTTGATTGGCCCTCGGGCAGCTAAAGGCCAGACCACACTGATTTAGGTAATACAGTCAAAAGTCGTTAATTCAGACACCCATAATTCAGAATGATCTATAATCCGGACCTCAAAGCTAAAAACTTTCTGCGCATACGCCGCGTTGACACATACGCCGCGTAAGACCTTTTACGACTGCGCATATGAGTGTGCGCAAGCGCAGAATACGTTTTCGCGTGCACGTTTTATGTATAACGGACGATATAAGCTAAAATTATCTAATTATCGATTTCAGTTAATGTTGATGATTGCGTTGTTCCTTAATTTTCGAATTGGATCCGGCTTATTATTTTTTGCAGACTATAAGAGTAATACTATAAAAGTAAACTTGAACTTTCGATTATGTCAAATAGAATTTCCGATTCTGAAGCTCCCAAAGGATCGTACAAAACGAAAGTATGTTTCGATGTTCATCAAACAAAAAGTGGAATTGCTGCAAAAAATAGATAAAGACATGAAGAATGTGACAGAGAGGTTAGTGAAAACGAAAAAATTTCGATTGACAAGTTAGTCGGTATTTCGGCACAGCAAATAACGGGACTTGAACAGCGGAACTTTGTAACTGAAAACAAGAAATGATGTCTGTTTTATAGAATTAAAGAGAAAAGTATTATCACATAAAACGAAGCAACTTACATTGAAAGAAATGTTTAATAAAGTAAACAAATAAATATTAAGCTTTTTTTTTTTTTTTTTTTTGTAAATTTTGATACCCTTTAGATCATAATTGTTCTTTATTTCATAAATTACAGTTTCATATTTTTAATTTTAGAATTTCTGCATGCCATCTTATGAGATTTAAACTGATGATCTATAATCCAGAAAAATCGATAACCGGAATCGCCGAAGTCTCGACGAGTTTGGATTAACGACTTTTGACTGTATATGTAAGAAGTATCCATGGAAATTGTGAAATTATAAGGATTGAAGTCAGATTAGCTTCAACAATGAAAAACACATCAATATCCTCCTTATCTAGAACAGTTATGAGTTGAGTCCTTTTCATGCGAGAGGCACAAGCATTCCACTGAAGCAGTCACAAAACTTTACAAATCTTGCAAAAATTCTCAGTAAAATGTCCAGAGATGCAAAGAAGGAAGCAAAGCTGTAGCAGACTTACTATTAACCAGGGTGAACTGCATAGAGGCCTGCTATATTACACCCCAGAAAAAATGCATTATTTCCAACTTTGCTAAAATTGATGATGATTCTTTTCTTTGCAAATTTTCATCTTAGTCAAAATTATGCCATATTGTGGCTTATTGTTTAAAATTTATCACCAACTGTTTGAAGTGCACTTCTCAGAAAAAAGGTCTTCTTGTTAGTGAAGAATTCACTAATGCGAGTTGTACGATAGTAAGATTTTTGCAACATTCTGAATTTCCTAACAAAGTAGCAAGCTTAAGAAGTGGAAAATCTGTGAAATTGAACAAGTGCAGTTTACTTTTATTTATCATGTGGCTTACTTTTATTTATCATTTTGGCAACAAGAAGAGGATTTGTTTGTTTCCTGTCATTCGAAGCTTTTTTTTTTTTTTTTTCCCTTGAGAATAAAAATGCTTTTTCATACAGTCCACGGCTTATTAGTGTTATTTCGCATTGCATCGTCAATCTCTGTTATGGCGCCAACACTGGTCAGGATGCTTATAAACTGACCTCTTTGGATATACAGATATTGAAAGCAGTGGGATTTCATTTAAGGAAATTAAAAACTAATTGTTCAGAATTGTATAAATTTAGGAATGATGTGAGAAAAATACTGATTTTGGGCAAGGGACAGGTTTTTTAGAATTGAAGTGGGATCTGATTGAGGATAAAATTAAATTGGATTTGAGAGATGTTAAGAATTCTATTGATGCCATAATTGGTGTTTGTATACCAAGTGATTGTGAACAATTTTCGTGTAATATTCTATTTGGGCTTTTCTTTGTGTAATTTTAAATGGTTTCTGAAAGTAAATCTTATTAGAAATCAATAGTAAATGAACTCATGTGAGTTCTGGTGGGGAGTGTTACATAATTCCTGTACCATTCAGCTAGAGGGTGCTTTATACACTCCAATAGACAGTGCAGACAGGATGCTAAAACAGTAAGATACTGAAGGCATATATACTTAATAATATATCCTCAACTATTTAAATTTTGTTAAATTTTTGTCCCAAATAAATTTTTTGGTTGTTTTCAGAAGGCTCTTGTATGCACCATCAGACACACTGAACAATCAAATGCAAAACATGTGAACTGTACATCAATTGATTTTGTTGTAAATATACACTTTAACAATCTGGCTTTTTATCTAATTAGAATTTAACACTTCACAACACTTAAAAAAGTCAGCTACAACATATTCATCACTGACAGAACATAAACTTAATTATAATTTTCTGATAAAAGATGATAGATATGATACATATATTTATATTTATAAATTATATGCATGTATAAAATTACAAAAAAAAAACAATAACATACTTTGAACTATATTCCACTTCAGTAGAGCCCGAAGGATTGACATCTGTTAAATAAATACATAATTTTTATATAAACCAATATATATAAATATATCAACCAGTATACATTAAACCAATAATTTATAATTAGAAAGCTTTTTATATACCATCTCCAACAAACAGAAAGGTAATTAAAACCATGAATATTTATAAGAAAAAAAAATTTAAAGTCAGTTTTTTAATCAATTATTAAATTAAAATTTAAGGCATACACAGTTTTATAAACTTATACATAATATAAAATAAGTATTATAATAATTATTTTTATTTTATATAAATTATCTTTTATATGCTATCTTTAATTATCTGTACTATCTTTAAAATAAATTTAATGATTCTGATCAAACAATAGAACATAACAGCAGTTTGGCCGTTAACTACGCATACCAGATGGAAAATTTACTTTCTTACATGAGAAAATTACCAGTTTTATTTGAATGAAGTTCAAAATGCAAATAATATCTTAATCCAAATTAAAAAATATAATGTATATTAAAATAATATTGGCTAAATAAGATTATTTAAAAAGCATAAACTTTTGCACCACTCAACATTTTTCTCTTTATAAAATGATATTTCTTCAATAGCATGAATTCCAAAAAAAGGAACAGATTTCACTAGAATTCTACTTACCTTTAACAAAAGAGATAATATACTAAATAATTCATTAGTAAATAAATTATTACCATAATTTAAGGAAGAAACGTCATGGCGTTTATGTGTTTAAAACTTAATAAATTTTCAGCGGGTGCAGCGTTTTTACCCATGCTGTGTTTAGGTGCACTAAAAATAAAATATTTTCTATGATGGTCACTGTACATAGTTTGGATGGCCTTGTCATCGTACATAGATTGGTGCTGTTCTTACACAAAAGACCACTCAGTTAGTTTTTGCAAACGTTATTTTGTTTACATTCTTTCCCTTGAATGGACTTACATGCCTTATTCACCCTAAAAAAGATCTCAGAAAAATAACATTCTCCCCCTTTCAAATCAACCTCTATCTCCTCTGCCATTCGATGAATCTTCCAAGACCCATCCTCTACCCACCCCTGCCTTTTCTGCGATTTATTTCAAAGGCAGACACGATTCTACCTGCCTCGCAATAACGAACTTGAACTCTGACATATTTTCCCTTCAGCATGAATTGATTTTTCTTGTCATTCTGCCAGATACAGATCCCATCAGTTTGGGTACAAGTACTTGTTGGATAGTTTTTAAGTAAGAAGGGAGCGGAAAATTTTTGAAAATAGCATCTGAACGGCACAGAAACTATACTGCTGGTTTTAAGCTTAATGTAATTTTACGTGGTGAACAAATTGGAAAAAGAGCAGCAGTTTCAGAGTTTGAAGTGGACGAGAGATGTATTCAACGTTGGAGAACTGAAAAAGAACTTCTTAAAAATATGCCACAACAGAAACCAGCCAAAAAAAGTGGTACTGTAAGGTGGCCAAATCTAGAGGACGACCTTGCAAACTGGATAAAGGAGCAACGAAGAAAGGGAATGGCAATTTCGACTGTAAAAATTCGCTTACAAGCAAAATTTATAGCAAAACAAATGAACATAAATGATTTCAAAGGAAGGCCTTGCTGGTGTAGCAGATTTATGAAAACAAAAAATATTTCTATGCGTACTAGAACAACAGTCGGGCAACAATTACCAATGGACTGGCAGGATAAAAAGGCATCTTTTCTAAAATAAAATATGTGACAGATATTATTGAGAAAAAAAAATTCTTTGGTCTCACAGATAATAAATATGGATGAAACACCATTAGCTTTCGACTCTCCTGTAAACAGAACTGTTGCTGAAACTGGTGCAAAAACCGTATCTGTGCTTACTACGGGGCATGAAAGAATGTCATTTACATGTGTGTTAGCTTGTGCCACAAACAGTGACAAGCTAAGGCCGATGATCATTTTTAAACGAAAGACTATTCCGAAGGGAGATTTTTCTAATGACGTAATTATTTGAGCAAACGAGAACGGCTGGATGTGCGAAACAATCATGCATGAGCGGCTACAAAAAGTTTGGCAGTGTCGTAAGGGATCTTTTTTCCAACCAAAAGGGTTATTAATAATGGATTCCATGCATGCTCATTTACTTGAGTCAGTGAAAACCAGATGTCAAAAATTGTCTACGACCGTAGCAATAATTCCTGGTGGTTTGACAAAAATCTTACAACCATTATATTTGTCAGGTAATAAATCCTTCAAAGTTGAAGTCCAAAAGCGGTGGGAGTGTTGGATGAGTGAAGGATTGCATACGTATACCAAAAGCGGTAAAATGCGTAGAGCATCTTATGAAGAAGTTGCAAAGTGGGTAGGAAGTGCGCGGAAATCGGTAAAAACATCGTCAATAATAGCAGGATTCAAAGAAGCTGAAATTATATCTTTAGATAAAGAGACTGTAAACCAAGAGGATGAATGTGATGATCTGGAAGACTTGGACTTAGATCAGGATTTACTAAATCTTTTTAATTCAGATAGGGAAGAATCAGATTTTGATGGCTTCATATGATGTATAGTTTGCTGTAATTCCTTTTGTAAGTAAAATTTAAAATTTCCTTTTGTCATCATTGTTGCAACATTTTTTATAATATAGTCTGAGTATTACAAACATGGACTTCTTTAGTGGGTAAATATAAGTATATACGTGAACGTAAATATATTTTCAACATTTCTTACCTTTAATTTATTTTTGAGTTGTGGTTTCATTTCATGCATTTTTCTTAACTGATATGTCATATATCAGGACTTAGGTTGAGATTTTGCATCTATACGGCCCCCGACGATGTCACGCACAATTTAATCTATTGCAGTGTTTACGCTGATGCGGCATTTCTGTGTAATTTTAATTTTTTTCCTGCCATTTTTCTCTAGTGCGGCGTTTACGCTGATGCGGCCTTTCTTCCGGAAATTACGGTATTTTATTATTTTCAAGCTTTTGTGTAAGTATTAGGCAATTTATTATGATTCATTAAAATATTTACTTATTATTAAATATTATTTAAATATTATATATATATATATATATATATGCAGGGTGTCTCAGTACTATGTCACAGAACTTCTAGCAAGGGTACAGTGCACATCGGTAATTGAGAATCATATAGCAATGCACAGTCGGAAATGCTTTCCTGACGTGCAGGTGCACACAGAAACATCAAAAATTAAAAGGCGCCAGGTAAATTAATATTAATTTTGATAATAAATTTACATCAACTAAAGTAACATGAGTCAAATATAGCATTCAAAGTTTCGTCCACCGAGTTCAACGCACACCTCACATCTACATTCCAAATATTCTGAAATATTCTCTATCTCGAATTTCCCTGACAACTACCGTGATTCATGCAACCAGCACCTCGGTGCTGTCAATGGGGGTATCATAAACAATGTCTTTATATGCCCCTACAAAAAGAAATCAAGACATGATAGGTCAGTGATCGAGCAGGCCGACACACTGGACCATCATGTCCCCATTCACTGTTGGCCAAATCTGACGTCTACGTGGGTACGAACGTTATGGCTGAAATACACAGGGGCTCCATCATTGTCTGTCACATCAATGCAGAAATCTGTCACCTAAAAACTGTGGCATGATTTGTTGCAGAAAGATCAAGTAGTTACAACTGATTAGACGAAAAGGCAAGAGGTAAGGTTCAATGAGGTGATCCCCCACTATGCCTGCCATATAATTCAGGAAATATAATTTCTTAATGGAATTCATGGAAATATAATTAATTCAGGAAACATATTATGAAATATAATTCATAAGTACTACATACAGAATCGTGTCATATACTTCACCAAAGGGGCAACCCATAAACGTATACACACACATACACTGCTCTCCAAAAGTTGAGGAACAGCATGTTTTTCAAAGCTCACCATTACAAAAATGTCAGTAATATTTAAATTCACAGTTTACAGGCATAATAGTATGAAAGTTTAAGAAAATATATGCAAAACTAATAGCTACCACCTTTATTTTATAGAAATAAAAACTTTATATAAAAAAGGCAAAAATTGTATGTTTGGTTCACAAGTATTGATCTGCAATTGTTATTAACAATTTCGTTGACAATATCCAGGAGAAGTTGTTTGCCCGATTCATTGAGGTAGGTGGCAAGGCTGCCAGACGTCTCAATGTCTCTCGTAGTGTGGTCCATTGGCAATGAAATCAGTTTTAATGCAAGGATTCTGTATCTAGAGGACGTGTTCCAGAAAGACCTACAGTTAAAACACCTTCAGAGACCATTATTTAGCTCTTTCGGCTCAAAGGAGGAGTAACATTACTGTGCCTCAGCTCACGGAGATCATTTAGTGGCAACAGGAAGAAGAATCTCATTACTATAGTGTGCAGGTGCCTGCACAATACAGGTCTGTATGTTTGTGTCCTTTGACCCGACATCAGTTGTTTGTGTCCTTTTGGCCCGAGGACACAGAGGTGCCCATTTATATTGGGCAAACTAACACATCTCCTGGACCAGTCAACAATGGGTGTTTGTTCTCATCACAGACAAGTCCAGGTTCACACTGAAGAGTAATTCAGGTCGTCAGTTGATCTGGAGGGAACAATGCACCAGATACAACCAATCCCACATTGTGAAAAGACACAGTTACAGAAGTGGTAGAATAATGTTTTGGGCTGAGATCTCTCTCGATGGTCACACTGACCTGCATGTGCTCCAATGAGGAACTTTGACTGGAGTGAGAAACCGAAACGAGATCCTTGATCAATATGTAAGCCCATATGCCATTGCTATTGGTCCTGGATTTCTTCTGATGGACAACAATGCACGACTGCACTGAGCTCGGGTTGCTGAAAAATATCTTGAGGGTCACTGTATGGAGCCAATGAAATGGCCAGCTTAATTCCCAGACCTGAATCTGATAAAACATCTTTGGGACTACTTGGGAGACAAGTTGCTGCTTTAAGTTCTCCTCCAAGGTTGTTAGATGAACCTGAACAAGGATTACTCCGTTGTCTGGTCATTGCTTCCCATTTCACTGACCGACAACATAATTGATAGCTTGGAATGTTGCTGTCGCCAATGTGCAGCTAGAGGTGGACACATTCCTTATTAGAACCCATTTTTGTAATGTTATCACCCCATTTTTCCTAAAAAAATTGTGATATGCTGTTTATCCAAGACTGCCAAAAGTGCAATTTTTTGTTGTAATCCATGCTTGTGTTGAACCTTGGAAAAATTCTATGTTGCATTCATTAAAGAACTGTTTAGTGAACATGTCCTCTAAATTTCTGGTTTCTATGTTGATTCCTTCCCAAATTAGGCACAAAAAAACATGCTGTTCATTAACTTTTGGAGGGCAGTGCACATTTAAAAAAAAAGGAGAAAGACAGAACAGCCTTAAAAAAACTGAATGTAGACACGAATTAGTGTGACATATTATATTTACATACAAGTCCTTTCTCTGAAAAGGAAAAAAAATTCTCTTATAATTTAACACGTTTCTCTTAATTATTCATAACATTTCATTAATATACCTTTTTTTCTAATATTTCTTGAATTGAAATTTAAAACATAACTTCACAGTTGTTTATTTCAAGTAAAAGCAGAATGACATAACGATGCTGGTATATTTACAGATGTCTGCCATTGTTTGCTAGACAAAAACCTTAATAGGTTTCACATAATGCTTCTGCATATAGGTATCTGCACCTTTATAATGATAACTTATAAAAATGTCATCACTTAAACATGAAAAGCAAACTTTATAAAAATGTCATCACCTCTGCATTACAACACTACTATGCTAACAGGATTTTTGGAATATTTTCATGGTTTTTCTTGTGCATAACATGGATACAGGAGTTTCCTTTAAAAGCTCTCTATGAAGGTATCTTTACCCTCAGACAGATAACCCTCATATACTGTGCAACAATCAAATCTACTAACTCTATGAGAAAAATATAACTCACTGGTTTCTCTATTCTACAATGCTTAGCTTCAATTTCATTTTATTTATGCAGTTTTAGATTTAGTGTTTATCTAATCATTTGAAATTTTTATTGAATTTAAACCAATTTATTATATTCCAACTAACTGTAAGCTCATCAGCGATTCAGCAGTAATGTCACTAATCACGGAGAGTTTACCCCAGGTTCATACACAAAACTTCTCCAAACTAAAATATTCTTATTGCATAGATTTAATCAAAAGTTAATCATTTGAGTTACCAAGTTAGCTATTTTAATATTGTAAACAGTTTTATTTTAGGAAAACTGCCTTGGCTGAAACAATTCTTCACAAATTTAAATTTAAACTAATATCACATGCAAGTAACAGCCTGAAAAGTCACAATGAAGTTAGCATGATTTGTCTACAAAAAGGACTTATAATGCTTTCAGAAATTAAGTTGATGACTAAAAGAAAATTGCTAATGTAAAAAAAAAAAAAAAAAAAAAAAAAAAAAAAACAGGATTATGATATCAAACTAGCATTTACTTACCAACAAATTTTGAAATTCAAATTATATTTAAAATCGATATTGAACAAAATATCTTTATGTGCTGCCCCCTTCCTGCCCGTCACATAAAAAACAAAGCTGCTTATTATTTTAAGAAGCAAATAAATTTACTGAAGAGAAGAAAGATTTTATTTTCTCTCAAAATAGCTCTTTCTTTCCTATATTAATGGCACGCAAAGGTTTTATTTTGACAATTGTTGCTTTGCTAGATAATAGGTTTATATTGTTTGACACTGATCTTATTACTGAATTATTTTTACAATTTTTCTTTATTTAATACCAATATCAAATGAAAGTATGAAGCATTGACCCCTTAACACACTAAAAAGAAATGGTCTGTCATCCAATGTTTCTATTTTTTAATGCACATAAAGCTTTGTATTCTATATTAATGCCAAATAAAAGCTGAACTTTGGCAACTCTTAATATTCAAGTTGATCTCTTACTTTTTTTCTTGTTAGTTGGTTAATAGAAAACTCTATAGCTACTCTGCTGTAGAACATTGTTATTACTCTACTTCATGATGCTGTGATATTTACTTACTTATAGGGCGAGATGGTTGCACTGAAATTTGTTCATTATCTACACTCATATCCATTATCTGAAAGAAAATTTCAAATCATTACATATTTAAATTTAAGTTTACATATAATAAATACATGAAAAAGTTATGCACTTTTTTAACAACTTCAGCAGTTTGTTGTTAAACAAAGGACGCTTCCAATAAAACATCAAACTTACATGATAATTTTAGAAAATGTGTCCCACGCCTGAATTTCTTTAGGGGTTTTTCTTATGGAACATATGATAATGACAAGTTAAAATCTAATGTTAAAAAACAAAATTCAGATTTAACACTTCATGTAAATAAAACATAATTAATCAGTGAACAATTTAAAACCTTCATTCAACTCTAATAAACTGTTAGAAATTGCTATATTCTGAATAAGTGAAGACTTTTATTTGAAACCCAAATTACACTCAACACTGGGTGCAGCAAATTTAGCTATAGTGAAAATTCTTTTATAGTAAAAATTGAGTGGTTCCAATCTGCATATATAAGAAATGAGCCTTTAAACTTTTATTTATAGCAAACCTTTTACTTCAGTTGTAATAAATAAAAACAAACTGTAAAGAAAGTAGTTAAAAACTGTAATATATTTTAAAATAAACCTTCTAGATACAACCTGAAAGAAAACCAGAACAATACTCTAGTTTACTATCTAGTCATTAAGAGCATTAACGGAGAAAAGATTTCAGAATTTTCTTTTACAGCAAAAAGCATCTACCATTTATGCTAGATGCATCAGCATAATGTTTCACCACCAGTATGTCAGTCAGTACATGGTTCATTGCTTTTTAAAGTTACTGAATGAGTTATCAATTGATTTCTTATAAATTGCCTCAATAATACTTTTATCTTCTCTCTTTTATTTATCATGATACTTCCAGAACATTGCATTTATCTATCACCTATTCATGGCTGTGCTGCAGTACTGCCAGATTGAGCAATTTATTGTAAATTTGCTATTGACCAAATTCCACTACTAAAATTTATGTCTATGCAATTTTGCAAATTCATTCTTTTCTCCACCATTTCTTTGTGCTACTTTTCGCTACTTAAATTTCTTTTTAGCATGTCATAAAATTCATATGTGTTAATATTACATATCAATTGAAATTAATTTATTATTCAAAGTAATATTTTATTTAGGCTTAACTGAAAGTTGGTAACTGGCAATCTTGCGATCGTAGCTTATGAGCATATAAAATTTATGTTTGAAAACAGATGGCTGTCTTATGTGTTTACTGTGTTTATTCTATACTTTTATTTAAAAAAAAGTTCTAGAATAATTGATAAATGCAGTCTAAGCAAAACAGAGTCAAAATTTTAGAAACTATGAAATGAATGTCTGTTCCTAATCGAAACTGTTATCCCATTATAGCTACAAAATTCCAAAACATCATAATTGATACTTTTTTTACCTTATTCTATACAAAAATTCAACTTAAAAATGATCACTTTTAAATTCTAAGGATCACATCATTTAGTATATTTGTCAGTAATTTTTCTCTTTTCCTTGCTAATAATTTCAACTTAAAACACCTCTACAACTTTAAAAAAAAAGGGAGGAGGATACACACACACACATATTCCCCCAAAAAAAACCATGAAGAAAAAAATCAGCACCAAAATAATTGTAAATTTTATACTCGAGCTGCCTATTTTTTCTGTAAAGGACTTTTAAAACCTTTTCTTTGAAATTTCTTCTTTTTCCCAAACTGCACTAGATCGGTTAAGTCCATACAGATTACAGCAGCAAATGGAAACTACTGTGAAATAAGTATAAATGGTTAAGTTATAAATGGTAATATTAATATTTGTGATTTTATTGCTCTATAAGATTTGTTTCTTCTCCCCAGTTCTAAAGTGATTATGTATTGGTTTGTGGCCCATGTGTCATAATCATGAACCAAAATGCATTCACCTGGTTATAATATTGCTAAAAACTAAACGACTGAAATAAGTCAAAAATCAAAATAATACCAGATTTTAAAAAATAACACAAAAAAATTAATAGGATCAGATGGTATCTTTTTATTAGCAATCAGAATTTGTGAAATGAAATAAATTCAACAACCAGGAAAGAATATTAATTGAAAATCATTAGTAATTAAAGCAAAGGAGGCACAATGAATACTAAAATGAACTAATTCAAACGAATTAATACAACAATTTTAATAAATCACACATGAGAAAGTACCTAACAGAATCTAAACAGAAAAATAACAACTTAAATTAGCTGAGAATTATTTTAAAGAAGAAATGGATGTTTAAATACTGGAAATTAAGCTATCTGGCTTTAAGATTTTCATCAAAAGTTATATATAATATAATGACCAAGAATCGAATTATAACCTGTAACCTACAGAATCATCATTGGAAACTGACATTGTGATGATGCCAGAGGTCATGTGAGCTTATCAACCTATGACATCACAAAAATCACATGATCTCTGGCAACACATACTATTTCTTGTGACTTTTCAATCATTCTGTTGCTACTTTAGCTCAAAAATTTCTAACAACACTGCTGTGCTGCTACACCACCACATGACCTTGCAGCTACTGATACCCTAAAACAATCTGCCCAACACAAAAAATAGAACTGTGGAGTCTACTAGAAAAGTCTTAAGGAAGAAGTAACCAATTCAGTTATGAAAATGATGTACAGTACACGTAAGATGCAACAAAAAAATTATCAAAACAGCAACTGTTTTACACATCTGCATTTACAGAATTAAACTGAATTACAAGTTTTACAATTACAAATAATCATAGTTATTTTACCAACACAAATTCAACAGAATCTTTGAACTGCCTCAGCTGTATCTTTCCATACGAACATGTATATCAGACATGTACCGAATGGAACATGCACGCAGCGGAAAAAAAAAAAAAAACGGGCAGTTCTATATCTCCCATTCTACTGGGCCGATTGAAAAAATTCAAATTGCATTTTTAATGTCTCGAAAGAGCAACTTAAACTTTGTATTAGATTTATATATAGCATCGTTCTAATATAGGTATTCTGACACAAAATCGGACTTTTTCTGAAATAACATACCAATTTTCTTACATATTTCAATTTTACGACTCAAATTACGCCAAACTACCAAGTTTTGTAAAAATCGCATGAGTAGTTTTTAAGAAATTACCCCTCAAAATTTTAGCTTCTGAATGTTAATTGAGTTTGGCATATATTTATTAATCTCTCTTTTCTTATGAAACTTATTTGATTCTTTCTTTCATATTTCGAAATTTAGGTTCATTCCAAATAAAATTAACAAATTTTTTTAAATTTATTTTTAAATTTTGTATTTTTAAGTAATTTTTATAAATTTTTCAAAAAAAATTTGAATTATAATCTATAAAAATTTTACCATCATCTTAAAGTAGGCGTATTTCCAAGCATACCTGCAAAAAATTAGTTTTTTATTCAAAATTTCCGAAGATATACGTGAATTTATATAATGGCCCGTTTTGAAATTTGGCATATTTGTTGAAAGCGATAAAACATCAAATGTGGTTTAGACACTTTGCTAAAATTATTTGGAAGTAGAAACAATGTGACTTTTATTCCATTTCGGCATAATGGAAGGGAAAGGAAAATTGGTTGCCACATATTAAGAAGTTTGCCAAGTGAATTATTCTAGGCGCAAACTGGAAAAATGTCACCAAGATAAATGCTTGAATTTCTCCATAAATTTCGTGCCAAATTTTACAAAATTTAATATCTAGATATAATTTGAGTCATAGAACATAGAATCAAAATATGGAAAAAAATTGGTATGTTATTTCAGAAAAGTCCGATTTCATGTCAAAATACCTATGTTAGAACAATGCTATATATAAATCTAATATATATCCTAAGTCGTGCTTTCGAGACATGAACACAATTTGAATTTTGTCAATCGGCCCAGTAGAATGGGAGATATAAAACTGTCCCCCCCACAGTGTACTTCCTGGTTTGCATGTTCATATGCAATGCAAAGAATTTAAAGTCTAATACAACATTGTCCATTTAAAGCAATAAAAGAGAATTAAAAATAAAATTGGATGATCCCAAGTAAGCATCAACTTTTGGCAGAACTGCCCACACAAAAAATTTGGTGTGGACACCACAACTTCCTTGTATAGCCTAATAAATTATACATATTTTTTGTCACAACAGTATTTGATATTAAATACAATATATATGTTAGATATTCATAGACTCCAACCTTCAGCAAACCTTGTCAGTAGTCAACGCGCGAACGACATTTTTACAACTTTGAAAATGTGCGCGTAGCGTATGTTGTAATTAACCATTCATTAATTTTAAATTAATAATTAATTGTAATCAATTTTATTACATTTAAAATCCACATACATATAAAACTGAATAATTAAAAATATACCTTGTAAATTATATGCACATTTAATTAGAAATTTTCTTTTAACTCCTCAAGCATTCACTAATAAAAGTACTTCAAATCACTACTAATCATAGAAAAAATCAGAAGCTATAAATCATATCTTTATTCTGGATATGATTTCTACAGGGAAATAAAATTTAAATAACCAAGAATGATACATATAAGTATTAAACAAAATACGCATAATTTATGAATGCAAAGATTTATATGTAGCATGCTTAGTAAGCTTAAGTTCTGATTTTTGAGAATGTTTTTTTATAACACAGTTCTTCATTTGCCTGCATATTTATTTTTTCAATCAAAACTGCTTCAAGAGTTTTAAGACCTAAATTTGGTCGAAATTCCGTCTGATTTTTTTTAACAATAGAAAAAATTCTTTCGCAAGCTGCATTTGAATGAGGTATTATTAAGAAGACAGCAAGCATTACAGAAGGCAATACTTTGTATTTAATACACCCATTCATATTTTTTAATTTGGCAATTTCTCCCCATGCTATATCAATACGCAAATCTACAATTTCTTTCAAATCATCTACTTGATACATGGAAAATTCAATTTCTACTTGATTAAGACATTTTTCATCAATAATGGATGGAAAAGTATTCATCAAGTAAAGAACA